AGAATTAGTTCTGTCACATGGTTTCAGATCTCAAATCTTCCCAGGGGTGGGGGCGCAGAGGTCTTGTTCCAAAGATGATCAAAGACATTGTAAACAATAACTCTGTCTCTAGCTAATCTGCTTTAGAATCTAAACTACCAGCAGAATGGAACTTGATTGTATACTGATGGCACAAAGTGTTGCGTTACGTTATAATCTCAATCGTGTTGGTTTCTATCATCTTCCTGTCTCTGTTCTATAGCAACATGATCATATTTTTGTTTTAGAAACAGTATTTTGGCTGCTGTGTAACAGACTACAGCAAGAAATCAGGAACAACAACTGCTTGCTGACTTGAATTATTGAAATGATAAGAAGGGGTGAAAGCAGGTTTCCTGGAAGATGCTCGTTATAGGTACTTCATGGAAACTGGTTCAGTTTCTCAAGGGGAGCCCACGTATGGAGTCCTAACATTTCTCCAACATGGATGAGCTTATTTCAATTGCTCTTCCCAAATAACTTTTAAAAGGAAAGTATGCCTTTTTTTTTTATACAAAGAGAAATGTTTTAAAATGTTAAAGTGACTATTTCCAGAAGTTTCACACAGGCTGAACGCTGATAAATTTCTAATATGTTTAAAACCCACATTTTCTCCAGAATGATGGGCTCCTACGATTCAGAAACAAAAGAGCAATTTTGGGCTATCTCATATAATTTCAAATTTGACACAGAAGACTCTTCTACAAATGGCCAGTAATACATAAAAGACAAAGGAGAAAATGCAGACACCAGCAGTCTGCAAGGGTAGCCGAACCAGTTCACAATTTTCCACTGTATCCTCAGAATACACATAGTTCAGGGCTCGAGTTACTTTCTAACTCTGAACTCAAAAGTTAACAGGTTTTTGGAGTTCTTTTAAGTTATGTGATTTCCAGAATGGCATTTGATAAGGCAAAGACGATTTTGCTTCATCCAGCAAGTGATAAATATGACGTCACTGTATTTTAAAAGCCTACAACACAAATAGTACCATATGCTTTGTTTTCTTCCAATGCCAAGCTAAAAGTCTGTAGCACTCTAATAAACTGCTGTAAGTCTAGGAATATTTTTGGTCAAAGTTTTCTTTTTCCCTTGTTTTATATCTGGTTTGCTAATAGATTTCTTTAGCTTTAGAATTATAATTAGAAGACAGTTATTACTTTGCATAATCAAATTGTAATTGCTACTTGGGGGAAATCCAACAAATTTAAGCATCAGTACTCGCAAAAAAAACAATGGCTGGCAAAAAAAGAATAACAAATGCTATGTTCTAATGATCTAAGCCATCTAACAATGTTTGCTTAACTGGTGAATTTGTTTTAGAGGCTGGGGAGCAAGTCATATTAGGTGATAGTAGAATTATCAAAATACTTTAAAGCATTAATAAATGACAGTTGAAAATAAGAACTAATCACCCATAAACACTAATAGCGGTAATAAAGAACAAAAATTTACCTGGGGCCAGAAACTTATTTAAGCCTGTTGTTTGTTCAATGTGTGTTCTTGGGCAAGTCACTTACTCATTTGCAGGATGGGAGACATCATTGTTGCCTAACTGTAACAGACACTTGTCAATTCCATCCCCGCTGTGTGGCTGTGTCTGGAGAACCTCCTACACATGTGCTTCTCACATTAGAAACCAAAAGGCCAAGCTGCAGATGTCCACACTCCTTTTTATTCCCTGACTTGGTTCTCCAGGCTTCACAGCAATTCTAGAAACTACCTAGATGTTTCATATTTTTTTTTCCCATGCTTTGTTAAATCAGTTATTTACTTTCTAACTGTTCGACACCAAGAAGCCTGGCTTCCACTTCCAAAACGTCGCTCACACTTGTCTCTCCCACCACCTCCTTTTCTTCCACTGTGTTTCACCTCATAAAATGTTTGCATGCTTAATCCTGTCGTGGCATCGGCTCTTCAGATGATCTACCTGACACATCTGGACAAATAATGTACTTAAATGTGTACTTTCTGAAACTGGCAACTTTTAAATGAGTCCTCAAATAGGGGGGGAACAAATAGAGATTTTGTAAAACAAATCTCAGATGAGAATTATTCCTTTCTCTATTTCATTCCTTCATATCTTGAAAAAGATACTCACAAAAGAAAATCTTTTAAATAGATACATCAAATCAATACCTTTCCTAATATAAAAGACTCTCCTTCAGTTACAAATTCACCTACTTCTAACAAGGAGAAGCAAATTAAAAGCCTTAACTTAAAATTAACTACTTATGTTGTCAGTCTCTGATTGGACTTAAGCTCCTGAAAGGTGCTTAAGGAGCACTCTCTTCCATGTTTTTTTTTTATAAAATAGTAGGTTCCTTCACCATGGGAATGTCTGTTAAGTGGAGATGATGTTCACCCATAGTGAGGTATAGAGACAAAGACCGTAAGAAGTTCCAGATCCCACTAGGGACACAGAAAGACAAAATACACCAATTGTTTTCACTGCTCAACCTACAGAAAATAAACCTCAGTTGCCTTTTACAAATCACAGAAAGTAAAGTTCAACAAAACTCTTAAGATGGGAATAAGTAAAAGATAAAATGAGAACCATTATAGGGAACTGATTTTAAACTGAGTTCCTTAAAGGAACTCTGCACCAGTGATATCCTTACTGGCCTGAGATGAGTACACTCCTTCCAAGAACTGGACAAAACACAATGTCTCAATTTAGGAAGCTAAACTGCAATCATCATATGCACAGATATACACATATAGATTACATGTAAATATGTATATATATTTTGTAAAATTTATATATTTTATAAAATTTTTACTATAAGCTTGATTTACTCAAACTTCATTATTTTACACTGATGGCATATACTCCTTAACAAACAGAAAAATAATGTCTTTCTACTACATCAGAGATGAGTTTTTAAGACAAAACATTGATCTTTCAGATAGTGAAAAGTTATTTACTAGTTCGATAATAATCAGAAATAGAAAAAGAAAGTCTGCAAGTTACACATACTTTTCATACACTTTCTGATTTTTTCATGATCATTTAGCAAAAAACAACTTTATGTCACCAACCACTGGCATATTTGTAATGATTAAATTTTTACTGTAGCAATGAAAACACATTTTTGAGTGGAAACCCAAACAAGGAAACTGTAAGTAGCATTTCCAACAACAGATGAATAACTCTAAACTACACTTTGTTGTTGGGGATTGTTCTCTGTATTAAGAGACTTAAAACCAAATAAATTTCTCCCTCGTCCTTAAGATAACATCAGCACCGACTTGACTCAGGTACTTTCCCACACTTGGTGAGCCAGAGCAGGCGGAGAAACAGTCCACTTACTGTACCAGGGTCAAAAAGACAGAACGCACTTTCCTCTCTTCCCTCTATACTACGTTCCCAAGAAGCTACAGTAAGCAGGGAGAGATTAAAGAATGAACCATACCCAAAACAATCTATGGCAATTTCAAATGACTAATTACAGGTCTTATAACATACCCAACTGGCTAATAAGACTTTTTGCTCTACAGAATTGCAAATTAGTACTAAACTACCTGAGACTGGGAAGCTAACTTTTGCCCTCCAGGCTTCAGAAAACAATAAAGCCATAGCTCTTCACATTTCAAGTTGTTAGCAAGTCATTTTTCTTATGAGTCAACCAAATAATAGATCTAAATTCAAGTACCTACCAGTTCAGGATGTGATAGAACATTTCACAATGAAGCCCCAGTCAAAAGAACTAATCCTAAATAATTTATCATGTATTTTCTATGAAAAATTAGGAAAGCAAAAAATTCCAAGCAGTAACTGAAAACTGTCATTTAAAGGTTAAAGGAAGCAAAAAGGCCTATAATTTTAGAAAGTCTGACAGATTTCATAGCAGGACAGAATATGGAATATCCTAGTGAAGGTACTTTTGATATAACAGAAAAAACAAAGCTTCCAATTAGAAAGAGTGAACAGGTGGGAAGGGAACATTTATTCTTTTTCCAAAGATACTGTTTTCCTCGTGAGCTGTCAGAAATCACTTGAACAAAGGCAGAACTTCTCAACAATTGCTTATAAAGTTGCTTTCTAAATGATTTTTTTTGGCAATGAAATGTGGTGCACATATTAAAAATATGCAGCGTTTCATGCTACAGCATTTTCATTCTTTCTTTCATCTGACAAATATTTATGGAGCTCCCAGAAGATAATTAAGCATTGTTCTAGTGCTTGGGATACAGCCTGAACAAAAAGGCCTCAATTCCCTGCTGCGGTTGAGATTACTTTCTCAGTGAAACACATAACAAGCAAGGAAATCAGTGGAAGGTTGTGTCTACACTACCCTGCACGATCCCACCGTTATCTTGCCATAATAGAGCGCTTTGCTGCAGTGCCTCTGGAGACTGGACACAATTTTATAAATAAACTTGCAATGTGAAAAAGACCTTTCGCTATTTCAGATAAATTCTCTTGGCCAAATTTTAAGGGAAATTTGTCTTTAAAAGATCAGTACAATATACACCAGAGGTAACCAAGTATTTTTACACACTTTAGGCTTTTGCAGGCCACCTGTGATAAGTGTCACACAATCTCCATTTTTAATTCTAGAAAGATATAAAACTATCCTTGTCTCACAGACCACACAAAAACAGATCAGGGGCTGAATTTAATCTGCACCATAATTTGATAGCCCCTGACTAAAAGCTCCAGATGAATAAGCTTTTGAAGGCTCTCAGTCCCGTATTTCATGATTCATTCTATACATTTGTGTGCAATTCTCCTGCTCTTTATTATTCTACCAACATCCAATAGAGTACTCTTTACTAGAACCACGCAGTTCCAACCACAGCAGCCTCACAGTCAACTCTGAAGAGCACACCTGCTCGACCTTACACAAGCAACAGGAAAAAATCTTGGTGGAAAACCCTTTGCGAACCTACACTCTGCTGAAGACCCAAGGCAGGGACTGGGCATGCTCTCCACACACTTCTCCAGACAGACCCAGTGAGAGCGAAGGTTCTCTTACCTTGCTGGTGGGACATCAATATTGGAAGAAACGACTTTTCGTTTCTGCTCAAGGAGACAGATGGAACGAGTGTTTTCCTTCTCGTGGTCGAGGACCCGATTGGCTTTTTTGGTGTCTACTGTTTTCATATCTTCCTCCATGGCCAAGGGGAACAAATGATGATGAGATGTTTTCTTACTGGAGTCGCGCTTTAAGTCCTCAGCTTGAAATGTGAAGGTCATTTCCCGCTTAGTGCTCCCCACCTGGGAACGGAAGCACAGACACTCTTAGAATGGGGCTCTGAGACTGTCAGGAGGGAGCCCTGAGAACAGAGATTCTCTGCCCGGTCAGCAGTTTGTAGTTTACATGGGGAAAATGCAGCACAGAAACCCAACAGCTAGCACTACAGAGTGTTGTATGCTTATTAATATTTTAAGATAACTCAAGCTATAATATTTTAGGATAACTCAACCTATATGTTTTTCTTTATCACAATAAAAAAGTGAGTATGGAACCTGAATATACAATTCTCTCAAACAAATATACGAAGTCAGTGAGTACATAAAAAGACGTTCAAAATCATTAGTGACCAGGAAAACACAAACCCAAACAATAATTAAGTACTACTTTACACCCAATAGGGGGGCTATTGGAGAAAACTACAAAAAAACAGGAGAAAATCCTGATAAGTGTTGGAGACACTGGAGCCCTCACTTAGTACTTGTTGGACTAATGATGCATAGCAGAGGCAGGAAACAGTTTCTTATTTCTTTAAAAAATACAGAATTATCATATGTTTCAATGACTCTACTCCTAGGTATGTAAGAACAGATTTATAGACAATAATTTATGTGAATTCTCATAGCCGTATTCATAATAGCATAAAGGAAACAATGAAAATGTCCATCAACTGACCAATGAAGACCACATAGTAGATCCATGCAATGCCTTTAAAAGGGTGAGATGCTGATATATGCTCAAAGAATGAATGAACCTTGAAAACAATATACTAAGTGAAACAAGCCAGACACAAATGGCAGCACTGTGCAGAATTCCATATGAACCACAACATGCAAACTTATTAAGACACAAAGCAGGTCAGTGGCTATCAGAGACCAGGGAAAAGGGAAATGGGAACTGATTATTTAACTGGACAAAAGTTTTCTTTTGAAGAATGAAAATGTCCTGAGAATGGAGACGGGGAGATGGTTGAACCTCCTTTGATGTCCCCTGAATTGCATGATTTAATATGAAATAAATGGTAAATTTCAAGTCATATGAACTTTACAGCAGTAACGATAACTGAGGAACAAAAAAAGTACAACTGATGTATGTATTACAACACAAACAAACTCATCATGAAAATAAGAAGTGCCTTTCCTTGAGGACTTTAGGACCTCTAAATTTTTTAATTTACAATAATGCTTTCCCTTTTACAACTAAGAAGATTCAATTAAGATAATTTAAATATTTCCAGCTTATTTCATGCTCAAGAGAAGAGCTCTTAACATATAAAGTTAAACTTCATCTCTATTTAACGTAGCATTAACCACACTCTGCAGTTCAATAAGAACTGTATTTCTATCTTTCTCTACTATAGTTAGCATCTTAAGGAAACCCCTTCTACAAACAAGTGATAAAAAATATCAGGCTAATTTTTCTTATCATTTTGAACTAAGTGCAGTGATTAAGGTACAAGGCAAATAATTAAAACATGGGGAATGGAAGTCTGCTACTTCCAAATTTGTGATTACTGAGAGAAGAGAATTTTTTAAAAAGGTTTTTGTTTTTGTTTTGAAACAGGGTCTCACTGTGAAGTTCAGGCTGACCTCAAATTTGAGATGATCTTCCTGCCTCAGCCTCCAAAGTGCTAGATTACAGGTGTGTGGCACCACCTTCGACAAAGAAAGGTTTTTGTAAGTAACTGCTGCTGTAAACAAAGCCTGGAGTACACTCATTAAAGTCTTAAGTACACAAGGAAAAGTCAGACCTCTTGGTAATCTGGAGCATCAGGAGTCATTAGAGTGATCTCAAAATACACATACCTATGAGACCTTTCACAGACAGTAAAATAACCCATCCCTTCTTCTGGAGGCAGTTGGTGAAGTCCATTTGTAGAATTAGTAATTAAGTAATTTTTATCCACCTACTACTTAAATAAAAAATACATTTGCTTCTTTTATTTATTTATTTATTTTTGAGACAAGGTCTTGCTATGTAGCCCAGGTTGGCCTAGAACTTGCAGCAATCCTCCTGCCTCAGCCTCTCAAATGCTGAGATTACATGTTCCATTACGCCAGACTTATATTTCTTTTGAACTTCAGATAGCAGAAAAAACAAAAAGACTTTGATCAAATTGATTTAAATTTATAAAACCCAAAGCCTAAGTCTAAGGCAGGTTCAGAATAAAACAAAACATTGTGTGTTCAATAATAGCAGAGTCTAGTATTCATAACCGGAGATTCTCAGATGAAGGAAAGTTCAGACTGGTGTTTAGGACACAGAGGCTGCCACGTAACAGAACCTCTGGAGTCCAGGATGACCTGTGCCCTGGAATGCACTTGCAGCTGAGCAGCATCTTTCATAGGAAGATCTGAGGCTCTACACAGCACTCCAACCCGCAGGGAAAGAGGTCGCAGTCCTTTGATGTTCTTGTTCTTACACTTAGCTCCACAAGACAATGTCTTCTACTTTTGGTCTACCTGCAGCTCATTAAAAAGTCTCCGTATGTCTGTCTGTCTTCCTTTCTTTATTAAAGTTTTTTTTTTTTATTTTAAAGAGGGTAAAACAAAACAGAACAAAGCAAATCAGAAGAAAACAATGTAAGTGACACAGATTTCAAAGCAAAACCACAGGGGATCTACAGTGGCTACCATAAAATCTCGTTTTTTTCTAAATAGTTGTCTATATCTTCACACACAATGAATTCATAGAAAACAAAATAGTATAAAACTGATCAGAACACAGTAATGAAGGCATAATAGGCCTTCAAAACCAGACAATGGGAAAATCAACAGTGGCTGCCATAAGGTTTCCTGTTCATACCTTCATGTATGTTGAAATTATATAATACAAAACAGACTAAAACTACTCTAAACAAACAATAAAAAATTACGGGATTTCACAGCATGACGATACAGAATCAGCAATGGATACCATAATGAGTCTTTTTCTTCAAAGTAGTTGTTCATTTCATTATGCATAATATAATCAAATCTCAAACTGTTTAGAAGAAGTTCTACACATGTATAAGCCTCTATATATACACCTATCCTTTTGGCATTAGAAGAAAAAACAAAACAGGTTACTAGAAAAACAAGAAACAAAAAAGACAAATAAATAACAATAGCAAAGAGCCCAAAGCAACGACGATATAGGCCTTCAAAACAAGGTGGTAGGAACATAACTAGGTTTGTTATTTTACATAGTGATTTTCAAAAGAATTCCTCAGATCACCAGACACAAACATGCAAAATCGATCTAATCCTATGAATGTTAACTATTTTGTTCCAAGAACTAATAGAATTTGTAGCACCATCATCTTAGCTATCTTAAGTATATTTATACAAATTTAGATATTTTTTCTTTTCCCTTCCTGTATTTTCCTCCTTTTCCCTGAGATACTATTTTTTCTCTTTTGAGCAGATTCTTACCCTTTCACAGTATTTATTGAGGATTTTGTATCTTATGTACTTTTATCATTTCTTACACTAGGGCACACTACAGTATTTACAAATATGAGTTTGATTTATTTCACTTAGGAGTATGGTCTCAAGTTGCACCCATTTACCTATAAAAATCTGAATGTGATCATTCTTTATAGCTAAGTAGTACTCCACTGTATAAAAGTACCACATCTTTTTATCCATTCCTCAGTTGATGGGCATTTTGGTTATTTATAAGATTTAGCTATTACAAATTGTGCTGCTATAAACATGGGTGCACATATATCACTGTGTATGATGTTTTCAGTTCTTCTGGGAATATGCCCAGAAGTTGAATAGTTGGGTCAAATGGGACTTCCAATCCCAGCTTTTTGAGGAACCTCCAGACTGACCCCCACAGTGGTTGCACCAGTCTACACTCCCATCAGCAGTGCAGCAGAGTTCCTTTTTCCCCCACACCCTCTTCACCATTTGTTGATGGTTTTCTTTATCCTGGCCATTCTTTCTGGAGTGAGATGGAATCTTAGCGTGGTTTTAATTTGCATTGCTCTAATGACCAATGATGCCGTATTTCTTAAAATGCCTTAATAAAGTAAAATAATGTCAAAGAAAAGTGAGTGTGTGCTTATGCTGTTTCAACAACATCAATACCTAACAGAAAGGAGCAAGAAAATATATCACACTTCCAAAAAGGCAATGAATGTTTTGTAAAAAGGCAGCTTAGAAACATCAACAAGCACAATTATAAATCTTGTAAATATCTCTCCTTATTCAATCTTCTATGCAATTCTTTCTTCCTGGACCTGGAGGTGACAGAGAGGTGACTGTCACTTCTGTTCCCACCTTAAATTACAACAGGAATATTCTAAGCACAGGTATAAAAGAAAACAAAGGCCTCGGTTTTGATTATCAACAGCTTTGCCCTAAGTGTCAAGTTCTACATTAATCAGATACAAAGTCAATAGTATCAAGTTGAAACATCATTGACAGCCATGCCTCTCTTGGGCCGAATGGACTGACCAAGCAGAGTCCACCCAACATTTAAAGGAAGGGGGCAACATCTGAAGTCATCTGTGTTCTAGCGTTACAATTCCAGAGATAAATGTGAAGTTAATATGAAGAAATAGGATACATTTCCTATAGAAATACTACAATTGTATGCCATGCTGTGAGCCAAGGCTTCATAATAAATCGCATTACAGCAATATTCAATAATGTAAGCTACAAACCTTCTAAAATAGTTTTTAAACAAAAAGACTTTTTTAATAATAACCAGAGAATTGCAGCAATGGAAGGGATTTCAGAGACAACTAGGCAGAGACTCCTTGTTTAAAAGTGAGTTACGGGAGCTGTGCTGTCCACAGCAGCGGCCTGGGCCCAAGCACGTGGCTGTTATGGGGTCAGCAGGCAGGACAGGCCCTTTCCAGGATGAAGGGCCTGTGTCCTGGCTGTGCTCTCTGCCTGGGGTGCCTTTCTCTGACCTCCTTACTTACACCACATGCTCCCACAGGCTGGGCACCACGTCATGTTCATCCCTGTGCCCCCAGCACTGAGTTGGGCTGGCATGCAGCAGGCACTCAAGAAATGAGTGCAGAGTG